AGAGAGAGAGAGAGAGAGAGAGAGTTGTTGCCTGTTGACCAGACGCTCAGGAGGTGGGAAGAAGACACAGCAGGATAGGTCAAGGCAAAGAGGAAAATAATGTAGGCGTTGTAACGGCTTAGAATAGGGGACCTAAAAGAGTATGCGGGTTATTTAAAGGGGTGCGGTGGGGTGTGGGGGTGGGGAGAGATAATAAAGAAAAAAAATACGATTTCCCAAGCCAACAAGAGAGGGTTGTTAAGAAGTAAAGAACGATTTATTCCTCTCATCTGTGTTTTCCGGTCGCGCTGGACTAGACGAAAGAATACACTAGGCGGTGTTTTGTGGCGGGAAACAGGGGTGGAGGGTTTTTTTTTAAGGGGGCGTGGGGGTGTATTGGGTTTGATGCCAGGTTTTAGGGTTGTCAACAACGAGGGAAACATCCCATTACTGAGGACTGTGGGAAGGGGCTGGGAGCACAGTCTTTGAACAGGTCGATAGGGTGAGATTAATAAGATTAATATAAGGTGGTTGGTAATTACTGATTTTGTTAAATGCATGGTACACTCCCAAGTGTTGAGGGATTATACAAAACTAAATGTTACGAATATCGGTCAGTTGTGATAAGGTTATTTTTAAATATAATATTTTTATAGTTGCACTTTAACTCTGACGAAACCCGAATGACACCCTTTAAGGTTCATGAAGATGAATTGTCAGTAAAGGAGAGTTTAAGAGATGCTATTATGTAATATAATAAAAACATTGACATTTCCCGTCCCTCATTTTGGGATAAGAGCGAGAAAGAAAGCGAACGAGGTTGATTTCGATGAAGATAGCGACGACGATGAAGAAAATGATGGTGAGGACAACGCGGCAACAATTTCCTCCCGACCACACAACGCCATTTACATCTGGGCGAGGTAGCTGCCAACCTCGGGGAAGATTTGAGGCGTAGATTATAATCATACATCGAGAAGGAAAGATCAATTCCTACTTATTACTACCTTGTCATCGTTTGAAAAATGTTTCAATCGATTTGAAATTAAAGGAAACTTTTAATGTGTCAACCCCTGTGCTTTTTCTTAACAGCCGTTACGGGAAAACTATGGAGATTATTTTAACAGTGTGTACTTGAAATCCGTCAATATCACAGACTTTTAGAAACGTAATTACGTATTTTAGGGAGGAAAGGGCGTTAAACATTGAAAATAAAATTGAAACAATTCATTATGACACACTTTGTCCAAGTCTCATTCGAAACTGCACTTCGTGACATAAAAAATCCTTAAGTGGACCTAGCTATTAAGGTCTTTTATCTGCACGACGAATCAGGCGCGAAAATGGCGAGGGAATTTTTTTTTAATTCTAAAAAACAGCTATTATCTCTCAGAGCAAGACAAATAAC